GCATGTGTGTGTGTGTGTGTATGTGTGTGTGTGCATGTGTGTGTGTGTGTGTGCATGTGTGTGTGTGTGTATGTGTGTGTGTGTGTGTGTGCATGTGTGTGTGTGTGCATGTGTGTGTGTGTGTGTGCGTGTGTGTGTGTTTTACAGGAGGTTGGATCAAGTGTTCTACAATTGAGCCATTTCCCCCCAGCCCACGATTTATTTTTTTCTCTTATTACAAGAAAATAGTTTTATGCCTACACTTTCATTTCAGGCAGTTTACAAATACACTGACTGTGATAATAAGTCTTCTCTGCAGTGAGGCAGCTGAGCTAACACCCCTAAATACAGGTGGGAAGACGACAACTACTAAAGTTTCTCCACATGAACTATTCTCTTAATGTCACGGAAAAACGATTGCAAACAGCCTACACAATACGCGTGGGCAGAAAAGCTGCGGAGTAGGTCTTGTGAACAGTGAAGTGTAATAAACAGTGTATCATCAACATTTAGAGGATCCACACCACAAACGATGACTTCTGGAAGTTCCCTCCTTTTAAAGGACACACTTGTTCTCCTTTCTGTTCCACATTACCCGAACATGGGTGCTAATCCTGAGTTTGGCCAGACATGGTTTAGACACAATGGCATTTCTGTAGGAACTTATCTTTGGACCCCTCATAGCAAAAGCAGTTTCTACAAAACCTTTGGATAGAAGATCTTCTGTCTGGTCCTGTGTGAGCTGCTCAGCCTGGCAGAATTCCCTGGCTTTCTCAGGTGGTTCAGAGCCGCCTGCCTGTGTTCTTGCTAGTAAGTCTGTTTAGCGGCCTTATGTAGGAATTGCTGGGAAAAGTCTGTCCTGTCTCCAGGGCTTCTGGGACCCAGGCTAATCGTGTGTGATGTGACCTTGGGAAAACAAAACAAACCAGAGAAGTATTTCCTCTGTCACCTGAAGCACTAGGCTTCTCTAAGACTCTACAGGAATGTTTGAGGTAGTGACTGGCTAGCTATAGCCAAGGCTCTTGGTGCAGGCTGAGGTTGCTTTCCACATGGGACACTAAGCCAGTCCCTCAAACTCTAATATTCGTGGGAACTTGTTAAAAATCAGAGTCACATTCAGTAGTTCTGCAAGTCCACACCTCAGCGTCTCAGACCCTGAGTCAGAAGGCTCGAGATCCAGGTAGAGCTGGACAGGCCCAGGGGATCACAGAAAGAAACCTAAGTCCTAGGGGCCAAATACTTCCAACAGCCCTCTTTGGCTTTTCTATTCAGAACCTCTCTCTCTCTGTCTCTCTCTGTCTCTCTCTGTCTCTCTCTCTGTCTCTCTCTCTGTCTCTCTCTGTCTCTCTCTCTGTCTCTCTCTCTGTCTCTCTCTCTCTCTGTCTCTCTCTCTGTCTCTCTCTCTCTCTCTGTCTCTCTCTGTCTCTCTCTCTGTCTCTCTCTCTGTCTCTCTCTGTCTCTCTCTGTCTCTCTCTCTGTCTCTCTCTCTGTCTCTCTCTGTCTCTGTCTCTCTGTCTCTCTGT